GAGATATCTCAGATGCAGTCAAGCCCCTTGAAAAAAACAAAACAAAGCCGAGGGAATCTTGGCATCCAACGCTGCAAACTGATTTTCTCCTGGGCGGATCTAATGCAATACCTCCTCCGGTGGGGGGCCGGGGGGGAGAGATGTATTCTTCTTTCCTTTTCCAAGTTATCCCCTCCTGTGATGGTGACAGATCAATTTGCAGCTCGAATTCCCCAAACGCCCCTTTCCAATGGCAAGTGGGCTGAGAGTTCTCTCCAATTCTTAGGGCAGAGTATTTTTTCCTTCTTCTTTTCCTTACACAAAGAGCCTTTTGGGGTTTCACCAAGACCAAGTAGCAACCATCACAAATCCGGGGGCATCCGTCTGGGAGCACTGTATAAATATAACCTGGTGCCTGCCTTCTTTTTTTGACACAGAACAATATTCTACTCCCAAGCTTCCCGGGAAGGGGCGGGTGCAGTTTGAATAAAAAGGCTGTCACTGATCCATAGCTATTGGAATAAGAATGGAGAAACGCTGAGCATCCTCTAGGGCAGGAAAGCCACCATGACCTTATGTATAATCAAATCCTATTTTCCTTCATTTTTATGGGGCTTTAGATCTCGGCCAGACGTGTTCTAAGGGTGCCTACCTATCGTCAGTTTACATTCCCGGCATCTGCAAGCCGAGTTTGCCCAGGGCGGGAAACCATCCATTGGTTTCTTAATGGGGTTTGCTGCACAAGATACCATGCCTGAGTTGGCATCGTATGCTCGGCTGCAGCTGGCTGTAAGCCTGGTTTACGGACGATCCACTGGCCGGGGCCTCTTGCACTGTGATTTGGATGGCCAGCAAGAGGGCAAAGGCTTGTATTTTCACTTTCCACAGGAAAATTGTTGTCTTTTCTGCGGAAAAGGGACATTGGGGTGGAGTGGTGAGCCCTCATTCAGAGAGGGTGCAGCAGGATAGGGCAAATTATTATAAGACAGTGTTTTTCAACCTTGGCCACTTTAGGAGGGGTGGACTCCAACTCCCAGAATTCTGGGAGTTGAAGTCCACACATCTTCAAATGGCCAAGGTTGAGAAACACTGTTTTAAAGAATGGGGGTATTTTCATATGCCGTATACCTACTGGCTGGAAAAAAAAAGTACAGATCTTTCTATAGGAATGAATGTGTCCAAGATTGTAAAACTGTTTGCAATTTGGTCGGATCTGTTTCAATGCTCCATCAATGTATACAGAAATGGGGAGGGAAGGGGGGGGGTTGCAGTTAAAAATATAGAACGAGCATCAATTTTCCCAGCAGGGAACTGTCACACATGGCTATAATTAATGTAACAAAAGAAACAAAGATAAATGGATCTAGTTAACAAGGTAGTAACAGGGAAAGGTATATTTGTGTTAAATGAAGTCCATACACAATAGGAAAACAGGAGAAATGTGTCGCAGGGCAGAGAGTTTTCTTTCTGCCTCCTCTAGATGGCGCCCTATCAATACATTTGGAATGAACATGAATTGAAAGGCAAAACAAATCCGAAGAGCGGCTGTATTTCAATGCAGTTACTTAAACACATAAAAGAAATCTTGCCTAACTTGGTATTGGATTACGATTTGAATGAGTTGCCTTTTCTTTGCAACCTGAAGAAATGGAAACAGATTTAAAAAAAAAATCTGAATGTTCATTGGAGACGAAGCTGAAATTATGCTCCCTCTTGAATCAAGATGCATGTTACGATCCTTGGCTTAATCACTTGGGCCATTAGCATTTCTTCTCTTGCCTTCCCCAGCATGGTGGTAATATTTATAATAACAGTGCAGTGTTTTTCAAACTTGGGAACTTTAAGATGTGTGGACTTCAACTCCCAGAATTCCCCA